CCGGGCCTGCCTAGCACGTTGATTCAAAGTGCCCTCATGCACGCCGATGTTCCACTCTTCTTTTTCTCGCAACAGCATTTCTTCAATCTGCTCCATCAGCAGTTCCTAACTCTTCGCGCCATGTTCCATTTCATCCTTTGACATGTCGTATAGTTGGCATGCAAAACTCAACTTGATCGGCTTTCTGCATTGCTCAAGGAAGTGTGCATGAATCGAGGCCCTCATTTCATCAGACGGAGGCCGGGCGCCGTAGAGCTGTTGGTATACGTCTGCCCACTCATTATAGAAATGATGCAGGTCAGCATCTGGCTTGCGGGGGTCAATAACTACCTTGAAGATATCACGCGAAATGCGGTGTTGGCCCAACTCCGACCTAACGGAACACCAATGGCAAATGGCTCGTACCATCTCGCGTCCAGTTAAGAGCCTTCCCTCGTTCTGGGCGCTGTATTCCATTCGAGTGATCTGTTGGAGGAAATGAATATGATGACCAGGCTGGCTGCGATCTCTTCGCATTTCATTGGGTTTCTCAATCAGATTTGCGGCGATCATGAGGTCAAGACGCTGGAAGCGCCCTGCGTCTTTCAGCTGCTCATCATCCACAGCTGGGTTCATAGCTTCCGTGATCCAGCACTGCGCCGCCTGGCTTTCAGGCGACGACCCAGCGATCGCACGGACCGCATGCATTTGCCACTCCCGTATGTTTGTAACATCGGGGATGTCCAGCAACTCAATCTCCTGATTGTTACCAACCTGTCTCCATTGGTCCAACGGCGCACTTTCATCAATAACTACTGGATCCTGCAGCCCGCCAGGGCCCTGAGGTCCCCCGCGGCCCTCTCCACCATCCGAAAGATCTGAACCCCCTGGGCTTCCTGGAGGCGATTTATATGGTCGTTTGCCGTGATCATCGTCGCGCATCGACATGATCTCGGCATTCGGAGCGTCACTCTTGTCGCCCCCTTCTCCGCCCTGCCCTGCCCCGCCCGACGACTTAGTCGCCGTCGGTCCCACGGGGCTACCCTTAGAGGATGGGCGGTAATTGGCGAGAATGTTGTCGTCATTAGACCCTGTCAATTTAATATTATTTGGACATCCATTCTCAGGGGCGCTCGGCTTAGCCGGGCCCACTAGGGCAGGACCAGAAACAGTAGAGTTGCGGCGCAGCAGCGGCCTCGCAGGAGTGTCCTGTGAAAGCCGCGGCAAATCAAATGAACTCGAGGTGAATCCTTTTCCTGGTTTATTTTCAGTATACGGAGTTGGATTCGCGATGGTAGCTTTAAGCCTCATCGTTCCTTTCTCTGGCTCAGCTGCGTTCGCCATGGCCTCTTCTTCTCGCACGTTGGCGGCTGACCTTTCACCCTTCTTTAGGATGCATCTGGGACATCTCCTAGTGCTCGCATCGAAATGATCTTGACAAGCCGGCAAGCCGCAGCCAGCGCAATTGCCCGTCTTCGGGCGTGAACAAATCAAACGACATTGGGCCATTACAGAACTCTCTGCTCGAGTTTCTTCCCTTTCTGCGGGTTGATGCTGCGTTGCCGCTCTCACCTGTAGAATTGACGATCCCGCGTTTGCTACATTTGTCAAGTCGGACTGGAGTGGAACGGACGCAGTGCCAGACGACTGAGCCGCTGGCAATAGATGTCTGTTCGCCCCAGTCGACTTGGCCGGCGGGAATTTATCATTGCTCGATTGCACACGCTGCAGGGATGCCCTGGCTTCTTCATGCGATCTAAGTTCTTCCAAATGTTGATTGTTCTGGTCAGCTATCTTTGCAGCAACTACTCGGGTGTTAACCACTTCCAGCCTGGCGATTTTAAGCTCTTCGTGTTAGCTCTGCTTCTCTCGTTCCGCCCTGACTGTAACGATTTGTTATCCTTCTACTCTAGCCACCGCAACAGCAGCGGTGACCGCTTTGGCATCAACAGACAGATTAGTTGCCGCCGCAACGGCCTGTCGTTCCGAAACCAGCATTGCAAGAGATCTATTATCGGCTTCTATCTCCGCCTGCCGCTTAGCGGCCGCGGTCTGATGATACATTTGTTCCATCAGTTCTCGTTCTCGCTCTCTAGCAACCATGGCTAGGGCGAGTCTTTCAGCCTCAAACATCTTCCGAACTTCTGCCATGGTTGCTGTCATCTCCTCTCGATCCGGACGGGCCCTCTCGGCCAGCTGTGCTTCGCTGGCGAGGAAGTCTCGCTGGGTGTTAGCCTCAGCTAGTCTAGCCTGCTCCTGAATAATTCGCATGAGAAGATATGTGCACTTGCGCTCGTCCATAGGAAAGCACTCTATACACAACCATTCGGTGATGCACTTAGGGCATACTTCTGAGCAGCTCTTACATACTGGATGCCTACATGCACCTTCTGGCTCGTTGGCTTTACCTGGGCATCTGCCTTCCACCTGAGGCGCGCAGTCAAAGTTCGGGTTCCAGCATGTGTCCATTATGGAGATGGTACTGTTGCTCCTTGAAGTATATCTCACTCCTGATCTTGGTATCTTGGGTCTTCCCCTGCTAGACGCATTCGATCTGGGGCGAACGAACGTACCTTCTGGGGGTCTAGGTACGTCTAAGAGCTCCTCATCCCTCTCGCCCTGTTTATTAGCTCAGCGCACGAAGCTGGTTGTCCAACCATTTCCTCGTCCTCAACAACAGCTGGTATATCGAGGGCTGCCAGTCGCCTGAGGCGACGGCAGGACGATAGAAACCTTCTTTCAGCGGTGAGACGTCTAAGTCATAATCCTCGTGTCTCTGCGTCTTGAGTTGAGGTGCAGGAGTCCGTCCTGTAGATCCCCTGTCATGCTTCGCCTGAGTCTCAGTCCTGTCCGCCTGAGGCGTCAGGTCACTGGTATCTTCGCCAGGTCCATCTGGGGGCCACCTCTCGCCTTGGGCGGGGAGGTCTGCTTCCATTAACGAAGACAATTCTCGGCCCAGGGAGATTTCTTTATTGATGCAGCCAAAATCTTCCTCCATTGAGTTTATTTCATGCTCTTTATCAATCGGTCCATCACTGTCTTGACCGAGCTGTCCATTTGACGCTATTGGGATGGGGGCATTTCTACTCGTACCTGCCCATTCGCCTGGGACGCTGGGGTACACGCCTGCGTTCTCATGGGCTTCCCCTGGCCGACTGGTTTCACCAGTGGCAGGCGCGATTGTATGTGTAGCATTCGGAATCGGGCTGATTGACTCCGTCGATTTGGCAGTCCAAGACGAGAACGCACTTCGTCTAGGTCTTGCGGTTATGCCATTTCGTCCATACGGGTCTGGGGTTTGTTCCCGATTGCCAATCGGAATTCCAGAGGGAGAGACATCTACCGTCATCTCTACCACCCCATTCAGTGCTTCTACCCCTAGATGCCCGAGTGGCGATATTGGAAGGAGGAATGCGGCCCTGGCCAGGACCGCTCTCATTGATGTCATGTCCGTCATGTTGTACAACACACTGATCTGCGCTTCGCGAAGTGACGGACACGTCATCTGTCTTATCACAGCTAATTCCCGCAGCGACTAAGTCGTGGGGTTCATCCGAAGATATTGCTTCTGGTTGGAATGATCCCGCGTCGACTACGTCGCGCGCTTCGGCTGATAACCCGTACTTCCTCTGAGAACCGGGGTAATATGCCAAAGGAATTAAGATCTTACGTTCACTCTGCTCAGGGAGAGAGGGGACGGGATGAGACATCGATAAGACAAGTATCCGGTAAGCAAATTTACTATATCAGGAATGTGAAGGGAGGAGGCCAGCTGGCCTACGACCGACGACGTGCGACGGCCGAGGGCTGGCGCGCTCCTTCTCTCTCCTGCAAGCAAACGAAAGCTTGCTTGAGTAAACAAACAGCTGCAGTATGCAGCATTAGTTCAAGGCAGACAGTGCGCAGCATGCAAGATGACTTATAATGTATTAATTTATGAGGCGGAGAGGAGCATATTTACTGGTATAGGTTGTTCCTTGCGGGGTTTCAGGGGCATGTCCCCAACTGGGGTGGTGGGATGGTGGGGATCGGGATGGGGATTGGGACCGGTTGAACGATACCGAAACCTTCTTGGTGACGTGGCACTCCACTGCGACTCTAGACATCTCGACCCCAAGAGCCGTCGACGGCTCCTGGGCCAGAAAACGGCACCCAGGAGGCCGAAGACGTTGACAAACCGGCCTCCGCCATGTCTTTTGCGAAGCCCAGCGGCTGAGGGAGGAGGGATCCTCAAGGATCAGCCAGCATCGGATCGGGAAATCGGATCAAATCGGAATGCAAGTCGGATCTGGCCGCATGGGCACGGAACCGGAATCGAGGATCGGCCGCTGTCGTTTTTGGACCATTTGTTGTTGGCCATCGTGCCCACTTTTTCCGTACCTGTTTCGAGTGTGCCAACACCGGCCAGGGAGGAACGGAGGTCCTCTTCCCCCCGTGGCTCGCGTGGTAAGTGGAGCCCCCCCCCCTCCCCGTCCTTTTCCTTGCCTCGTGGTGATCTGAGGGCAGAATCCATTTTGATCCGATCGATCCGATTCGATACCGATTCTGACCAGCCCGATCCGATTCGATTCCGATGTTCGTTCGGTCCGATTCGGCTCGACGCCTGCATGGCCTTCTTGTGCGTCCAAGCGCAGCCGCTGTTGGGCAGGCGACTTTTTGATTCAAGTGAACAAAACCGCGGAAAAGCCGACAACGAATCCTGTTCGAAATGGGCAGGGACTGCTGCCGGTTTTCGTCCCTATTCTTACCGTACCCATTTCGATCGCCTAGAATGATGATGCGGAGGAGGGGGCGCCGCTCACGAGTCTTCCATGATTATTTCAATACGCGGCCCCAAAACTTCCAACCCGTTCCTCGGAAGTGGCTTTCGTCCAACATCAAGGTTTGATGGTCCCCGGGCCTGAAAACGGGGACCTGGAGGCCGAGGTGGGGGAAACGCATCCGGATTGAACAAATCGTGTCGTCGGAAATCTGGGCGTGGCTTGTTGCAAACGGCCCTCCCCGGCCAACGACCCGCTGACCTTTGCATGTTGTTGAGCAAGACGGCCAAGTTATTCACTGCGTCGAGCGTGTGGGGGTGCTTCGGCCCGAGGGCATCCTGGCGCAGGCACAGCACGGAGACCCCCCCTTCCGCCACGGTACTGGAACCGCACACCCCGTGCAGGGATGGCAACCTTTTCTCTGCTTTGACCCCTCTATTTCGACATTGCACCGGAACCGCCGACGCCCCACCCCCAACATGCGGGCACCCCGACAACCCTGGCGGAGGCCCCCTCCGCCCCGACCCCTTTTTTCGGCACGGCACAACCTCAGCCGCTCCCTCCTTGGCAGCCGTTCCCGCTCCTCCCCCCCCAGGCAAGCCGAGCGCCCCCTCCTCCATCTGGACTCGGCGCCACCGCCGCGTCACCAGCCCCGCCCGCCCCCCCCCCCCAAGCAATGAAAGCGCACCCTGCCTCCGACGCTGTGATGTCAACATGGCGCAAAAAACGTTGCCCCCTCCCTTATTGTTCGCAGACGGCCCAATTCCCACGCAAAGCGCCCCTCCGTTCGCCTCGCCACTTCGGCACTGCACCGGCCCCCCTCGCCAAACCCCGCCCCTCGTCCCCCATCAAGCAAAACGCCGCGGCACCGAAGCCAGCGCCGCTACTCCCTTTCCAGCAGCCACGGCGTCCCCATCCGCCCAAACTTGTCTATATCGGCGCGGCGCAGGGACGAAAGCCCCCCCCGCTATGAGTCTGGACTCCACGATTTCGTCCCAAAGGCTCTGGATCGCCTTTGAAAACGGCCACGTTCCCAAAAGTTTTCGAACCTGCGCTCTGTCGTGACTCACGAGGGCACCCCGAAGGGGGGAAGAAAACAAAACTCAAATCGGTCGTTCGTTCGTCTCTCGAGGCGGCGCCGACGACGACCGCGACGACGACGGGCCCTTTTCGAGAAAAAACAATAATGTTGCGGACCCACCTCAGCAGCAGCAGCAGCAGCAGCAGCAGCAGCAGCAGCAGCAGCAGCAGCAGTAGCAGCAGCAGCAGTACTAGCAGCAGCGGGGGGAAGGGGGCGAGGATAGTGGGAGAAGGGGACGCACAAGACGGACCCACGACCCCCTAAAACCCAGACGGGGTGAAGAATTCCAAAAACAAACAAGTTCAAATAACGAAAAGTAAAACGTATCCCCCGCCTACGAACCCCAAGGCGGTCACTCTCAGGCCAAGTTTACCCCAGGGCCCCACCCCACTCAAAAAAACCGGAAGGAAAAACAATCAGGGCCAAACAACGAGACCCGGGGCCACTTCACGGGGGCAGGGAGGAGCATCGGGAGACGCCCCGCCCGAGAGCGGGGCGGCCGCGCGGCTCCGACCCAAGGCCTCATGAGAAACAGCTTGAAGACGCAGTCGCTCTTCCGCGGAAATTGCCCCGCTTGTGGAAGATCCGCTTCGCGGAGTGCGCGGAGAAGTGAAACAAGAAGATAAGGGGGAAGTCGAACAGGGCGAAGTCCACGGCCAAGGCAAACAACAATGAACCACCGCAGCACTTCAAGGTAGATCCAACTTGAAAAGGCAGAACGAAAAGAGACGCGAAATAATGGAACGACTGGGGGGCCCATGGGGCAACGTGCGACACCAGGAGAAAAAGTCCAATGACGCAGCCAAGCTTTTCGAGATGCGCAGGATCAGCCTGTCATCTTCAAGTTTCCCCGATGCGCAACGCCGTCATTCGGTCTCCACGCTCTCTTTTCTGAGAGGCCTTAGGGCTGGGAGCGCCTGCCTCCAATAAATATTATGATGCGCAATGGCGTCCTTTCCGGGCCCGCCGGGCGGCGCCTCCTCCGGGGCGGGAGTGGGAATCGCCTGGCGCAGGTTAGTGACGACTCGATCATCAGTCGGGCGCCAATGCAAGCCGCGCGCCTGCCGAGTCTATACTGCCCGTCGCATTTATCGCGCATTGCTGCGCGGCACAACCTATGCACGGTCGTTGGTGAACTGCCCACTGCCCATGTTCCGCTGCGGGCGCTCACCCTGAATTGCATCAGCTCAAATCGTATAACGCCGTCGGCCCCGGCGCTCACCCCGCAAGAGAATCACAGCGCCACGGAGACTCGGACACCGGGCGCAGCCACTGGCGCAGCGTGGCACGAACATCGCGGCGCGCCACAGCAGACAGAATTGCCGCGGAGCCAAATTCCCCCTGCGCAATGACTTCAGCATCGGGTGCCCCCGACGCCTCGGGAGCAGACCTCGGCGAGCGCTCGGCGCCAGGTCCCCCCGGCGCAACGAGGGGGACATTCGGCGAGCGCTCTGCGTCGGGATTCCCCCGCGCGCGGGGAAGCGAGGCCGCTCCACCATTCCGAGCCAACACTGTAGTGGTCTCCGTTGGCTGTGGATCATCGTTCCAGACGTGGTTGGCAGGTTGCCCTGCGTTGGCCTCTGCGTGGAAGGTCTCGGTTCGGTGACCGTGGTCAAAGATACCGCCAATATTGCCAGGGGTCCTCTCAGCTATGTGAGCATACGACCTCATACGTCCCAGTGGAGCGTCAAATTGTGGTTGATCCCTCGGCATGTGGTGGTTCAGAGGCTGCAGGAGTCGTTGTGCACGCGATGTCCCCACTCCAAGAGCTCTGAAGAGAAATACTGATAAAATTTGGAGGTTGGGGATCTTGAAACCGGCGGTTTCAGCTTCGTAGCGGGCTATCTCAAACCGTGCTAACGTCTGGTCGATACGTTCACCCGCATGGACTCGAAAGTCAACAGGAGCCGTGCCAGAGTTGAGCTGGCGTTCCTTTTCTAGGTTCTCGAACTTCGTACTTAGGAGGAACATAGTGTAGGTGGCGCCGTCGGTGTGGCGACCGCCTATATTGACGCCACAATTAATAACTGCTGGGGGGACCCTCATGGCTATAGTCCGCGTGAGACCTCCCAAACTTCGCTCCAATGCTGCGGCTTGCTGGGAAGGCGTCGTATTGCCTGTGGTCACATTGATCCAAGCATGTACTTCGCGGACGAACTCGCGAAATGGTACTTGACCGGCAGGGCCCCACTTGGGGCCAGTCGTTCTAGTGTCGCTTCCGCCCCGCATATGTCCTACCGCGCACCAAATCGCGACCCATATGAGCCCAAATATAGCAAGCCCAATCCAGTGGCCTCGTAGGTCGTAGTCGCATGTAGTCGGTGGGGACTTGGTTTTGTCGTCGTAAATCTGCGTGGGGTCGGAGGCGGCAGTATGTCGTATCGCATGTTTCCATGCATTCTGCCTTCAACGAAAAATCCAATCCGAGTAGGTGGGTGGACTTCAAGAATGTAATAGCGCAAGGATGTAAGATGTGAGTGAGAGACCTCCGCTTGGACAGAGGTATCGCTGTAAGTTTCCTTCCGGTACTGCGTAGTTGTGTACACTCTTCCGCGCAAACCCACTGCACACGGATGTTCCACCATATCTGTAGTCCACCAGATAGTGCCGTGGATGGTGAGGAGTAGTGTTAAAGCTGACCACCATAGGCCAGCTCCGCTACCAAGTTTGAAAAGGGGCTGGAAGGCCCAGCCAACAGCTTCGCCTCAGGCGAAGGCAAGCTCCAACTCTGTTGCAACGTAGTAGCGATAGTCCCAGTATGAGAGGAGATGCCATCTCAAGCAATAGGAAGATCCTTTTGGTCTCGAAAGCGACTATGTGCCTCGCAGTGAAGCACAATCAGATTTGGGCGGCCGGCCGCTTGAGCCGACGCGGCCGCGGGCGCACGCTCGTTTCCACTCCTTACGTCCCTCAGCTCGCTTTTGAGTAACGAGCCAATCGCCTGAGACATCCCAATTATCTGGACGCGAACGGGAAAATGTTTCCCCCCCCCCCTTTGGCGGCTCCCCATCGAGGTGCCCAAGTGTCACGCCTGCTATATAGCAGCTGTGACCACTCTGTTCCCCCCAAACTCGCAGACGACCCGAGGCATCCCCACAATCTGGGCGCGAACGGCGAAATGTCCACACACACACACACTCGGCGGCTCCTCCTTGGGGTGCCCAATACCATGCCTGCTATATCGTTGTGATCACTGGGTTCCCCAAACACTATGAAGGCAACCCGCCTGGGGTATCCCCGCAAACTGGGTCTGAACGGGCAAATGTCGCCGCGGCCTCTCCCTGGGACGCTCAAGTGCCACGCACGCTACATCGCCAGCATAAAGCAACTCTGAAAACAAAGTCTGAGTGTCAGCGAATCTGGGTGTGATTGGTCTGTGTGCGAGTGGGTCTGTGTGCGAGTGAGTCTGAGTATGCGTGAGTCTGAGTATGACTGAGGTGAATCTGAGTGAACCTGAAAGTGGGCGAGTCTGAAAGAGTGTGAGTGAGTCTGCGTATGAGTGAACGGAATGTAAATGATTATGTATTGCAGACCTGAGAATCAGTGGATCTGGGCGTGAGGAAAGCTGGGTAAGAGCAAGACGCAAGCGGGAGAAGGAGGAGAAGGGTGCGAGTGCGTCTAGGCGAGAGTTATCTGAATCTGAATACGAGGAAGGAGGCGGCAAGGAAGGAGGGAGGTGGATGCGTGCAAGGAAGAACAGGAAATACAGACTCAGGAGGTTGGGAATACATCATATTGTCTGACATCCCGTGACCATGCATGTGCCACCCCTTGTGCCGTAGATGGGGTGAGAGGCGGGTGCAGGGGAGGACCACGTGCAAAGTCGTCGACCCGCCCGTCTGCTACATCCATCCTTCCGTTTGACCTCCCAAGACCTGTGACGATACGCACACGTGGCAACGAAGTTCCACTACAAAGCAACCTACCCATTCTTTACCATGTGTCGTTGGTCGGTTCGAGAGCATCGCGCAAACCACACAAGGTCCTTAGAGAATTTGTTGGCAGGCCTGTACAGAGGAACTAAAAAACCTTCGCAGGCGCAGCCAGGGGGACCAACAGCGCCGATCCGAGAGATCTGCGCGGAGATCCAAACATTTACGGTCGGGAGCTTTTGCTCAGCGCGTCGCGGCGGCGCCCCAGCGACACGCCATGCCTTGCAAAGGGATGGCGTGCCGCCGTTCCATGGGCAGAGAGGCTTGGAAAACTCGAGGCGTTGACGCCTGGGGACCGGGACAATGGACAAACGTGTCACGCCGCAGTGTGGTGAGCCAGAACCGGCGGTGGCGACACGCTAAGCAACAATTCCTGACCGTATGCTAGTGCCGTTGTTTCTTCCTCGACCGCTCTCGGGTCGGGAAGCCTCGCCATTGCTCGAGAAACACAAACTGCTGCACCCGAGCCCGCGGGTGCGGACCCGCGGACTGCTGGTCTCGGCCGACCCAATCCGCGGTCATCCGTCGACGGCCCACCAGCGCCTGCCGTCGGCTCGAGGAGCATGTGGAAGCACAAGTAAAGACTGGTGCTTTGAGCCCGCTGCGTCGACTGCCATGAAGTAAGGAAGTCCGTCCATGGGCGCGAGGCGGTATTCACATCGCCCGTAAGAGCTCTGCGCTTCACACCGCGCCAATGCAGGCCCTGCTCCCCGAACACAGCCACCCTGCGAACTCAGTCCCTCCATAGATGCGCAAACATTGGCACAAACATTAACGTAGGAGCTCTGGGCAGCACTCTTGGATCGGCGCTGAGACCCTCTGGGTGCGCCTGCGGCGCCACCCCTGGCGCGCTCCGCGCGCCAGGGTAGGCGGGCCAGCGCCGATCCGAGAAATCTGCGTGGAACTCCGGCAGGTTGGTTTTATGCTGCGTTCCGTTGCTCTACACAAAGAAGAAATCTCTCCAATGGCAAGACTGAACTGGACCAACTCGTGAAACCGGGTCAGACCAGGAACGAATCGGATCGCCAACGAGTTGTCCCGAATCAGATCCAAATCGAATCGCCGCGCCTGGCTCCAGCTGGCCATGGGCGATGCGGGCGAATCCAACCGAATCGACTCGAATACTAACCGCGAGCCGAGCCGGCGAATCGAATCGCATCGGATCGTAGGCGGCCCTTGCCTGGCCTGGGGCTGAACGTGGGTGCCGCGACACATCGCAACGCACATATCCGCATCCGCGCCTTCAGCAACGAGTTGGGTGCCCCGAGGCTCATACAAGTGTAAGCAACGCTTGGCGAACTCAGGCATCCTTCAAAGCCTCGATTCTCAAACATCCATCGCTCTTGAAGTGTGTCCTATGAGCCTTTCCTAAACCAGGAAGCTCCAAGACAACCCGAAAGTGCCCAGAGAGCCTGGAGAAGGTGCAAGAAAACCTCCAGACTGACCAGGAGCGCTCCAAGACGGCCCAAGAGCGTTCCAAGATGGCCCCACGCCGCCTAGACAGGGCCTCCAAGAGCACGCAGAAGAGTACGCATGACAGAGGGACCCCAAGAGGGTCACCTTCCAATCTTCCAAAAACCTCTTCAATTGCTTTCCGCGATAGCGGCCGTCACCAGACCTGCCCCCCACCCCCGGAGGTGAGGTGACGTTCCGCGCCGGCCGCGCCCGGTGTGGCGATCTGCACCACAGCGCCTGCGTACACCGCGATGCTCGCGTGCACCACAGCGCGGGTGTACACCACAGCGCCTTTGGACACCGCAAACGGCCGTGTGCAACGCAGCGCCAGTGTACACCACAGTTCTTGCGAGCAAAACAGCGCCTCTGTACGCCACAGCGAATGTGTACACCGCAGCGGCCGTCTGCAACACACCGTTTGTGTTCACCACAGTGCTTGCGTGCACCGCAGCGCGTGTGCACAACACAGCATGCACGTGCAACGCATGGCTGGTGTACACCATAATGACTGCACACAGGACAGGCGGGAGCATGTAAGTCAGGATCTGCTGCGGACGGTTGAACACCACGCACTGCGAAGGATGATGATTAAATGAGATGTTCCTTCGTTTTCGTCCTCTTCCTCCTCCTCCTCCTCCTCCTCCTCCTCCTCCTCCTCCCCCTCCCCCTCCTCCCTCACCCCTTCCCCCGTCATGCGGATCGGTGCTACAGCGCACGTGCGCATCTCAGCGTGCATCACGGAAAGCTGGTTTATTGAATCAGTCCACTTGGTTCTCGCCACCACAATGCCGCCCAGACGCCGCAAGAAACCTCCAAATCCAACGATCCGGCGTGAGGGGTTTCAAATACCCTCAAAACAGCTTGAGCCTCGAAACCTGGGTTTCAGCTCTTCTGGGGGGGGGGGGCCGGGGTGGCTCTGCCGGGGTAGGGGGAGGGGTGGGGGGGGTGTTTCGATTCAGTTCCCGGGGCGGAATCGGAGCTCCAGCCCACTCCGGAACGGCCC